TGAATTGATTTAAAACGTTTACTTTTCATGTCATTTTGATTTTTTTTAGAAAAAACCAGAAGTCGCACGTACCAAATCCGTGGTACCAAATCCGTGAATACGGTGGATGTGAACACACCGTAATGTTTTATTTAACAGAAATTGCCGTATCAGAAACGATGTGTGACACGGAGCGTTATCATAGAGGATAAAACTATTTGCCCATTTCTCAAGTCTTTTTCTATGTACATTCTTCGTTTCTTAAACACTTCAATAAGCCTTTATAATATTCAGAATTCACTGTAAACGTTTTGAATTAATTCAGAACGTCGAAGAAGTCACGAATTTGCAGCGCAACTAAAGGCTTATGAATCTCTCTTCCAGTACTGCTTTAGCATGTGACAAGAACGATTGTGATGGGATAAATGTATTAGAAGCGAAAGGGAGTATTTTGAAAGGAACTAATTTATCTTTATATATAATAGATTCCTTTTTATTTCGAAATTCACTGTATTTATTTATCTCTATATGTATGTACTATTATTATATATATATTGAAACTAATGTATGAATACTGTACAGTGTACAATATTTAATTTTATTGTTTTCTGTGTAATAATTGAGTAATACGTATATATGTATTATTTAAAACTCACTTGTGGACATATTTTTTCCCCCGGGATAGGAAGCCACGAAGGAATTAACCATCATTACAGCTGACAAAGACAGAATCAAAGCCGCAGAATGCATTTTCTCTATCGACAATAAGTTTTGATGTGAAGCATAAATACATTTTTAATATAAAGGCTAATATTATTTTATTATTATTATGTGTAAAGCGAACATAAAAGGAGTAAACAATTCTTATTGATATTTATATGTAAGGAAGAATCTTGTGACTTTTATAAGAATATAGAAATCAAATATATTGAATATAAAAAGTTTATTTATAGTCATTTTTGTTTAATTAAACATCCACATAGTTTTAAATTTATTCAAAATAATAATATCTAAAATAAAATATATGCTAAACGAAAAATTACTTACTTTTTTATTAGTAAATACGTACTTGGCAATAACTTGAAAAGGACTGAGGAGTTGGAATTTATGAAGCGCTATTTATAAGAAACGTTGGAATTTATCAAGAGCTATTTACTAGTAACGTTGCGTGGGGATAATTTTAAACATAATTTGAGGAAATAGATAACAAAAAAAAACTTTTAAAAAAAAAATTTACGCCAAGTATATAAAAAAGTACATAACATCCTTCCTAAACCAAAAATATTATTTTAACAAATAAAAATTGTCCAAAAACAAATATGAGATCATACAAGTTGCCAAGTATTTGATTTGACATAGAAACAAAAATATTTTTTTAATAAACCGTTTAACCAAAAGTATATACAGCAAAAGTTTAATTGTCTTCCCAAATATTTTTAAGTTTTACAAAACAGGCTTAAAGTGACTAAAATGATCAATGGTGAAACGATTAATTATATCTGTATTAACCTGCAACGCAATAGGTAATTTTTGACATTTTTTTAATATGGAGATATTATATTATGTTATTTGTATGCCAATATTTATAATAGAGGTGTGCAAATAGTTCGAAATCGAATAGTTCGAGAATTTCTAATCAACAATGGTTCGATTTTGAATCGATCGCCTAATGTAATGTTAATCTGGGAAAATTTAATTCAGATTCGATTTATATTTGAATTAAAGAGATTCGATTCGATTCGATTTCGAACATGTTATAAAAATTCGATTTAATTCGATTCAACCATGCAAAGGCTTGATTCGCACATCTCTAATTTATAATGTATTGTACTATATATTTACGGTACGGAAAAAACCCACACGTGGAACAAATTTCGTATGTGTTTCGTCATGTTATAATTACTCGTTATCATTCTTTGGTTAATTGAGAATGATAACGAGTAATTACAATATGACGAAACACATACAAAATTTGTTCCACGTGTGGGTTTTTCTAATTCGTATCATAAATATACATATAGTACAATACATTATAAATATTGGTATACAAATAACGTAATATAATATCACCATATTAAAAAAATGTCAAAAATTACTTATTGCTTTGCAGGTTAAAACAGATATAATTAATCGTTTGATGAGTAAATTAAAATGTCAATGAGCACAATATTGTTAGAGTATTCAAGAGCCTTATATAAGTCATAATTAAAAAGTCAAAATATCGATCAATCAGAGCACTGATTAATTTTTTTGCAATTAAAATTTTACAAATATTAAAGTTATATATACTTACGTAGCATGATAACCATGATATTATATTACAAAACAAGAAAGGAAACAGATCGGAAGAGCACA